AAAGAGAAAAAGAAGAACCTTTTAAACAGATGGATGCAACGAGAGCACAGCTCCTTTGCCTGCAGCACTGTGCCCAAGTTAACATGCCCAAACCCTCAGCATACGGAGCTGTAACGTCTTCCAGACTAGAGCTGGCTTGTGTCTGGTGGCTTAGAGAGCAGGAGAGGCTCCTGGATCTGCCTGCACCTCTCAGAGTAGGCATGACCAAAACATGCCCTTGTGAGGATGTGCCGCTGACATCCTTGTGTGAGAAGGAGACGTCCCTATGTGTGGTTACACTGTTGGATTTTAAGAAATAATTCTGTGTATTTTGAAAAGATGCCTTGATGCTAAAATTTGTCTCCAAAATAAGAAGGCCCCAAAACATGGTTAAGTGTTCTGTATTCATCCAGAACAAAAGCCTCTGAAAACCTCCACAAATATTTGGAGATCAGATGAAGATGGGCTTCAAAGAGAATGCAAGATTTCTACCCTTTAGTAGGTCACACTCAGAATACCAAGTAGAGCAACAACACATCTTGGTACAGATGTATCTTCCACTGTACTGTATCTATCTTTAGCCCACCCTATCCCGTGAGTCAGGACTTGTGAATAATTTTGCTAGTTTTTTAGACACTGGTTCAGGACGCATGCCAGCTACCATGCAAAACTGGAACAGAACGCAAATAGAGGAAAAATTGTCTCTAGTAGAATTACAATTTTATGTTCTAAATCCTAAATATTTTATTGATTCCTTGCCCTGTTCTGCCCTAGAACACTCAGACACCAATTAAACACCTAATCTAAGCTTGTCATTTTTCAGCTCTCTGTATCCTTGCATCAGCTGGTAGTATGTTAAAGCATCGTAATTTCATTGCAAATGCACTCCTGTGGTGGTCTATGGCAATGACTTGGTGCAAGACTTATTACACAGCAAAAACCCTTGGTGTTTTTAATAATGTTAGAAGAGATTAGCAGTGTGAGTTTATTGTGAGTCTTGTGATGAGCCTTAGTTTCATGTTTACCTGAGAAACATGGCTTCTGATTTATTCTTTTTTCCCCCCTTTAAGTGCACTGTTAGACCATTTATATTTACCAAAAAAGCACTCCAAAAGCAACAAAAAGAAAACAACACATCAACAAAAGCACCCAAAGACAGCAAAAAGAAAACAACACTGAGACCAATTTCTTAAATCTCATTTTTCTAGAGCAAACCTCTCAGCAATTTTGAGAGTGTCTTGTCTTACTGGCTTTTGGAAATTAAATGCAGGTAATTCTATGCAGAGTTGGCAACCTGACTTGGAATTTCAAAGGGACACTAAATAAAAAGACTTGAAGCCTGCATTGCTATGAGAGAGAAGAGTTGGCTCCTTCCCGAAATTACAGCTTTCCACCTTCTCCAGGAATACCTGATATCAGTCACAGGTACAGATTTCCCTTCTAACCTAAGCAATTTAACATGGTATTTTGTACACATATTTGCATGAACAAGACTGGCTGAGCATTCACATCAGGAAGCTATATTCTTCTTAAAAAACTATTAAACCATTCAAGTGTTATTTATTTCTTAGATATTTTTGCCTTTAAAAAAAAAAAAATTATTTATTTATTCAAAGATTCACCTTCCTTGATTTTGATCAGATACCAAAATACAGGTAATGAACAATTCTTCTCCCAGTTCACCTTCCAAAACTGGCACGCACAGGCCAGCTCACATGCTAGCCTGATTCACAGACATTTTATTATTCATGAACACTCAATTTGCTGGAAGCAGCAAAGGATCACATGCCATTTGACCCGGTAGCTACTAAACAGAAGGAAAATAAAGCCTTTATGCAAAACAGATCACCCTAAACAGAAATAAGTTAAAACCAGATCATTTCTTATCCTGGCCTATTTTTATCCTCTAACTAAACATAGCATAATCGTGCTCTGTGGGGTAACCAAATCCATGTTTCAGATTAGAAAGTACAAGGGTTAGCAACTACCAAATGCTTCTCACTGGAAATCACATCATGTAACTTCTTCATTCTGCTTTACAGGTACCAGGTTCAATTCAGCCATACTTTCTCAACCTTTCTTTCAAACTTAATCACACTTTCTCTATATTTAACTGAATGCAAATAATGTTCTGTACAACTCTAAGAAATGCTCATTAGCACTGCATCTGAGCCATCAAATCTTATACCCGTGGATTCAGCTTAAAAAGAGAGCAACGTAAAAAGATTTCTGCCTAACGAGTTCTCACCATGAACCCAACCCGTCCATGGCCGAGCAGAACAATGAACAAACAAAATACTTAGAATTTGAACTACAGCAATTTTAGTTCTGCTACAGATACTTCACATTCTGCTCTGTTCCTATTTGGCATCACAGCTAGGGATCAGTTTAATGAAATTGGTATGTAACACAGATCCTTATTTTTATTAAATAGTTCAATGACCTGAAACCAGTACCAAGTGTCAGCATATTATTAGGGATCCTGCATGTTCCCTCTCATCTGAAACAGTGAGATCCTGTCTAGGGTAACTCTTACAACAAGCACACAGCAGCTCCAGAGCCATCACCATTTAACAAAGTCATTTCAAAATGTACTGAGCTCGCTCCCAAAGCAACTTACCCAGAATAAAAACAAATCTTCTTTTCAAACAGCTTAAAACATGACAAAGTGTTTATCCCTTTCTGTGATCTCTTTACTCGATAGCCTGCTTGTGTATATACAAAGCTTCAGGAATCCCACATATTAACAGGTGATTCCCAAATATTCTAAAGCTGCATTATTAACCTAAGAATCAAATCAAAGTGCACCGCGGTATGCATCAAATTTACAGAAGATCATTTTAAGGAGATATGTGGAGGAACATGATAGAATGGAATATTTTTTTTTTATGTAGAATCAGCACCTCCCTGTTTAAAAAAAGAACTCCCATTTCTATAGAAAGAAACAAAAAATAAAGCTATGGAAGACTCACAACCTCCCTCACTGCTAATTCCCAAAGTAGGAGTGGGAATTGAGTCCTCCATGACTTTGCAGCTCTGGTTGATGCAAAAAGCCCGGGAACAAAACCAACAAGAGGGTCAGATAAGACAGCAGGAAACATATACTTTACCATCTCCTGGAATGATGCGCAGGGTAACGGTGTTTCCCGCTTCCTTAATGAGGTTGACGATGTCTGAATGCGACTTGTTGGTGATGGAGCACCCATTCACAGCCAAGATCCGATCGCCTACTTTCAGCTTGCCACAGCGGTCTGCGGGACTCCCTTCAATTATCCGACCTATTTTGTGAGGCATGGCCACACATGCATTTCCCGCTTTTGTATTGGTTTGGGGGTTGTTTTTGTTTTGGTTTGGTTTGGTTTGGTTTTTTAATTGTTTACATACGTGGGAATATGGTGAAGGGGAATCACAGCCAAGATCCGATCGCCTACTTTCAGCTTGCCACAGCGGTCTGCGGGACTCCCTTCAATTATCCGACCTATTTTGTGAGGCATGGCCACACATGCATTTCCCGCTTTTGTATTGGTTTGGGGGTTGTTTTTGTTTTGGTTTGGTTTGGTTTGGTTTTTTAATTGTTTACATACGTGGGAATATGGTGAAGGGGAAAAGGA